GAAAGTTGATCCAATAAAAGCTATTACCTCACTCACTTTGCCACATCTCCAGTTACCATGCGGATCAATCTTCTGGCATTCGATTTAGCAGGTCTAGTTAAGATTTGCTAAATCGAACGCTGAGGGCGACTCCGGTCAGCGCCAGTACTCCTCAGTCACGAGGAGTAAGGGCAGCCGATGGGAGCAAATGCCTACCTCTGTGAAAGTGACAAGGAGTCCTGTAGCACCTTATAAACTAACCGATGTATTGGAGCACAAGCTTTCATAGGCAAAGACCCACTTCGTCAGATCACATGCATCTGATGAAGTGGGTCTTTGCCCACGAAAGCTTGTGCTCTGATACATCAGTTAGTCTATACGGTGCTACAGGACTCCTTGTTGCTTTTGCAGATCCAGACTAACACGGCAACCCCTCTGATACTTGATACCTCTGTGAAGATGGTGTCAAGTTCTGCTTAAGGTAAGCCAACTCCTGACCTTCTAGGTCAGGTGTAGAGCTGATCTAATATCCTGGGCTTAACATGTATGCATTGTAGGTGAAGTATAGGCTAAGAGAAGTTAGCCCCCAACCTCGCCCACCCGTTCTTCCTTTGACTTCCCTTAATCCTCGTGAAATAAGCATTACCATGAGTCGGAGTAAGAAGTCCACCAACTTAACATTATTTCGAAATAACGGCTTGTGGTGTAGACTTGCTCTTTATTATTTCTGAAATAACGCTGTTGTGTAGACATACCCTAACCTCAAACGGATCAGCAGTTCCAGTACAACTGAAAGTCTCATTCTAACTGTGGGCTCTTTGCTAATCAGCTGTGTGGTATTTGACTCTCTTCTCAGTGGCCTCACAAGCGCACAGCTTACAGGGACCACTGGTCTCATTACATTTTCACTGCCAACTCATATAACAAAAACTTACACTTACATTATATTGGACCCAATAAAATGCACATCTTTAGTGTTAAGGAAATGGATGCTTGTTGAGGATGTTGAGCATCATACACATAGGTTTTGTGAGCATCTACTTGCGAAAAGGGCTTTATTCCGGAGGATCGCGCCAGTCTAGACGCTTTTTTTCCGGCTTTGCCCCAAGCCGGAAAAAAAGCGGCGGCCATGTTTATTTAAATCCCGCGGGGGATATTTAAATCCCACGCGGATTTCCCTATTCCCACATTCAAAATTAGCATGCCCCTTCCGAAAAAGGGGCCAGTGTAGACACAGCCCTAATAAATCTAACCTAACCACACAAAGCCTGACTCTGCAAAGCTATGACTAAAAAGACATGTTTACAATAGCTTGCTGCACGTAGGGCAGTTTCAGCAGCTGATAATGAGATGGCTGCACGTACATAGAATCATAGAATCATAGAATAATAGGACTGGAAGGGACCTTGAGAGGTCATCGAGTCCAGCCCCCCGCCCTCAAGGCAGGATCAAGCTCCGTCTACACCATCCCTGACAGATGTCTATCTAACCTGTTCTTAAATATCTCCAGAGAGGGAGATTCCACCACCTCCCTTGGCAATTTATTCCAATATTTGACCACCCTGACAGTTAGGAATTTTTTCCTAATGTCCAATCTAAACCTCCCTTGCTGCACTTTAAGCCCATTACTCCTTGTCCTGTCCTCAGAAACCAAGAGGAACAAATTTTCTCCTTCTTCCTTGTGACACCCTTTTAGATATTTGAAAACCGCTATCATGTCCCCCTTAATCTTCTTTTTTCCAAATTAAACAAGCCCAGTTCATGAAGCCTGGCTTCATAGGTCATGTTCTCTAGACCTTTAGTCATTCTTGTCGCTCTTCTCTGTACCCTTTCCAATTTCTCCACATCTTTCTTGAAATGTGGCGCCCAGAACTGGACACAGTACTCCAGCTGAGGCCTAACTAGTGCAGAGTAGAGCGGCAGAATGACTTCACGAGTTTTGCTTACAACACACCTGTTGATACAACCTAGAATCATATCTTCTTCTTCTTCTTTTTAATTGTATCCTTTGGTATATATGGTTGTGACTATTTTCTTCCACTATTTGATCTGAGGAAGTGGGTCTGGCCCACGAAAGCTCATCATTTAATAAACCATCTTGTTAGTCTTTAAAGTGCTACATAGTCCTGTATTTTGTTTCAGCTACACCAGACTAACACGGCTACATTTCTATCACTATTCTTCTTCCAAGTAATTCATTACCTTTTATCTATTTTTATTGGGTGCAATCCCAAAATTGTTGATTCTGTGAGTTTCGGTAAAGAAAAGGTTTCTTTAATGGATAGGAAAATAGCATTGCAACACTGGAAAGGATAAACAGCTCCAATTTTTAAAAACATGGGGTAGTGAGCTGTGGGAATTAGGCCCCTTGGACAGGTGACTTATAAAAGATAATAAGCTGGAGATGTTTGAGAAAATAAGGTCTTTATTTGTGGACTGTTAGGCAGAATGAGCACACTTCATAACCAATGTACCATAATGTGATAAAAATTGATAGTTATTGTCTTAAATTTCTGTATGTTTGCCAGTGGACTTTCCCGCCTCACATACTTTATTTTTTTATTTTTCCTAACTTCCTTGTTCCTCTCCTTTGTAAAGTTACTATGCATGTTTTGTTTTTAATTTTTTAAAAACAAGGTGGGAGACTATACCATGCACACACAATTCACATATTATTAATAAATAGAGAGGAAGGATGGCCCAGTTGTTTTCTGTCTCAATTTCCTATCTGTAAAACTGTAGTGCTTCCCTATCTGACAGGAGTGTTATGAGACAAAACACACTAAAAATTGTGAGGTGCTCAGATAATCATGATAATGGAGGCTATATAAGTACCAATGAGGAAGAATTAACCTAAAAAGCATCCTGGAAATTTCAAGTTCTCATTCCATTCTGATTTCATCCCCTGGTGCTCATGCTGCTTTTTTTTTAATTAACATTAATATATAGTGTGTTAATGTCTTCAAGGACTGTTTGCTTGAGTTTGAGAGATTCTGCTCTACAAACCTAGTCCAGGGGCCAGAATTCCATTCCTGTGACTGGTTTGCCTCCTCTTCCTGTGCCTTTTTGTAATAATGTACAGTAAGTAAAAAAAGAAGTGCTTTGTTTTTTGTTTTGTAAAACAAGGACAGTCCTGTCCACCTGCAGACGCTGGAGCTCTCTTAATTTGAAGGAACCCCTCAGTAGACTCTAGTCTTAATATTTTAGCATCGCAAGGAGAGTGTTACTGTTCTGGGTGGAGGAAAAGGGTGCTATTCACCTGTGTGGAAGAACGGAATCCATTGTATTCAGAGTGAAGAGTATTTATAATGGGTGTGACATTCTTCATGGAAGGGAAGACCTATGGGTGTGAGGAATTTCTGGTTTAGACATGTGAAGGGGAGCGATCCCTAAGTGTAAGCAAGACCCTGTTGAGGATCAAATAAGAAAGGAGTATACAGCTGCACAGGCCCGGTATCCTATTCATATGACTTTGGGCCAATCCGGGCTTGTCCTCCCGCAGGTGTGCATGGTCTCTCTTACACACCATGGCAGGCAGGCAGAAACTTAAGTCTGTCGGGGGCTGTGTTGCGTGTGTATCAAGACTCTTTTTTCCTTGCTGCAGTGGCAGGCGCTGGCTGCCAGGGGGCAGCAAAGGGAGACTTTCTGCTCGCAGCCCGCTGCAGTCGGAGCTTTTCGGCTGGTTGCGCGGAAGGCTGATCCGCCCGTGTTTCCAGTTCCAAACTCGGCCTCCCCTCCCCCACGCGCCGCTTCTCTCCCCTTCCCTCCGAGCTGCTGCAGCCTGTTCCACCTCCCATGCGGCCTGCTGGGGGTGGAGGCGCGAGGGGCGCTGCGCTCCCTGGGTGTGCTGTCACCGGGGGAGGGGGGCCCAGGAGGGGACCCCCCCCTGCATGGCAGGGTTTGCTCCTCCTCCCCTGCCCCCCTCGCCTAGGAGGGGCCTGGGGGGCTCTGTGCCCCCCACGTGGGGGGCATTAAGAGCGCCTGTCTCGCCCCCTCATGGAGGGCTCCCCTCCCCCCCGCGGCGATGTGCAGGGGGGGCTGACCCCCACAGGCTCTGCTCTCCCGTGTGCTGCAAGGGGGGGTACGAAGGGTCTCCCCCCCCTTGACCCCAATCTGGCTCCGCTTTCGCCCCTCAGCAGCAGTGCAGGGGGTGGGGAGCGGCTCCCCCGCCCGTGGCCCTGCCCCCCCCC